ACTCTCCACCCAGGGACAGCAACTGGTAAAGTTTGCTGAGAAAATCCCCTACGCACGAAATACTACCAGCAGGAGCTGGTACCCATCTCACAGCAGCTGCATACATTCTTGAAGGCTCCATGGGATCTGACCACTTCAAACTCTTCTCTCAGTGGACGCTTTCAGTGCTGTTGGGACAGCAGTGTTGGACTGGCAGCAACACCATGGGACGCTCAGGAGGTGGCACCAGAGGCCTTTACAGCATCAAAGGCCTGGTGGTGAGATTCCTACCTCTCTTTGAAGTCCTCCATTTCTCCAGTTTACATTATCTTCCTGCTCTGGAACCAGTTCCTATCTCATCTGGGCATCTGGGACAAAGTCAAAGCAGGAGCGGCTGTCAAGCACCTAGAAAGTCACTGAGAAGACTTACAGGACTACCAGGTGATCAGGCCCAGTCAGCATGGGCTTATCAAAGGCAGGGCCTGCTTGATGAATTTGATTTCCTTCTACAACAAGGTGACATGTTCAGTGGATGAAGGAAAGGCTGTGGATGTGGTCTACCTAGACTTCAGTAAGGCTTTTGACACTGTTTCCCTCAGCATTCTCCTGAAGAAGATGGCTGCTCAAAGGTGTATGCTTCATTGGATTAAACACTGGTTGGGTGGTCAGGCCCAAAAAGTTGTGGTGAATGGATTTAAATCCAGTTGGAGACCAGTCACTAGTTGTGCCCCCCAGGGCTCAGTGTTGGGGCCAGTTCTCTTCAGTATCGTTATCAATGATCTGGACAGGGGGATGGAGTGCATACTCAGTTGGTCTACAGGCAACGCCAAGTTAGGAAGGAATGTAGGCTCAAGGGTAGGAGGGGTCTGCAGAAGGATCTGGATAGGCTGGAATGATGGGCTGAGGCCAACTCTATGAGGTTCAAAAAGGCCAAGTACCAAGACCTGCACTTGGGGCACGGTAACCCCAAGCAGCACTACAGGCCAGGAGATGAATGGCTGGAAAGCTGCCTGGCAGAAAGAGACCTGGGGGTATTGGTCAATAGCCAGCTGAATATGAGCCAGCAGTGTGCTCAGGTGGCCAAGAAGGCCAACAGCGTCCTGGATTGTGTAAGAAACAGTGTGGCCAGCAGGTCTAGGGAAGTGATTGTCCCCCTGTACTTGGCTCTGGTGAGGTCACTGTGTTCAGTTTTGGGCCCCTCACTACAAGAAGGGCATTGAGATGCTGGAGTGTGTCCAAAGGACAACGAAGCTGGTGAAGGGTCTAGAGAACATGTTTTACAAGAAGTGGCTGAGGGAGCTGGATTTGTTTAACTTGGAGAAAGGAAGGCTCAAGGGAGACCTTTATAATTAAAGTACATCAGGGAGGTGCTTTACAATTACATTAAAGGAGGTTGTAGCAAGGTGAGGATCAGGCTCTTCTCCCAAACATCAAGTGATAAGATGAGGGGAAATGGCCTTAAGTTGTGCTAGGGGAGGTTTAGGCTAGGTATTAGAGAAATGTGCTGGGCCTACCAAAACCAGCACTGGAGAAAAGCCATTATTCTCTGAACCTTGGGAGATAAAATGGCAAAAAATTGCAGATAGAAGGAGTGTTTGAACATTTATCTGAAGAAGAAGAAAAGTCTGTCTCATGAGTACTGCTTTTGTTGTAGTTTGTTGTCTTGCATAATATTGAAAAATGCCATTTGTAACATGAGATGAACTGTCATCTCTCCTCTTGTTCTCAGATTTTTCTATAAATACATCCTGTTCTTATTAGGCAATATGGTTTTGTCTGTAAACATTCCAAGAACTGTAGATGAAAACAGGTGTTCACTGACAATGACACAAGATGAGATAAGAAAAAAAAAAGTCAACAACAATTAAAAAAAAAAAAAAAAAAAAAAAGAATAATGTTGTGGAAATTCTGACCAGAGTAATGAAAGCCTGTGTCTAGCCAAGCCGCAGGAACCAGTCGAGGATGTGGTCCTCTCCAGACCCATCTGGTGTCCTGATCAAACCTTATGCCCTCTTTACCTCTGTCAGACATTTTCTTCATGCTCTGGTCTGCTCCAATCTCCTCTGTTTAGCTGCCAATGCTCTCCAGACCCTCCACACCTCCTCTGATCCTCTCCAGGTCCCTTCATTGGGGTCTGGAGCCTCTCTGTCCTTTCCACATACACTGTGGGCCCCTCCAGACCCCTCCATTTGGGCTCTAGTATTCTGTGCTCTGTGAACCTTGTCCTTCCAGGTTCCTCCATTTGCCATCTGAAGGGTGTTTGAACCCTTACCCTAAAATGAAGCGTCACTTCAACAGAGCTCTTCAGATACCAAATGCACAGTACTTCATGCTCAAAAGGAATAACACGAAATAGCTCATTGTAGACCATAGACCTCAGCTTTACTAACTGTGCCAATCAGGACAGTAGTGCTTTCCAGCTCTGAAAGCTCTTCTCCCTTGTGCCAAATCCTAAGCTGAACCCCACAGTCATTTCAGGAGATCTAGAGGATGCATCTCCTAGCTGTGAGTGTGAATATGGAGCCTAGAAGAGGGAAAGGACTGAATAACTGAAAGGGATGAATTTAAGCTTAATTTTTCTCTTGAGTCTTTCCATAATTGTCCAAAGACAGATTCCCCCCACTCACCCCTCTATTTAGCTCTATCACATTTGTTAGTCTTATTCTATTCACTATTTCATGTGTGCAGAGATAGAGATGGTTTAAGGACCTGGTTTCCTTAGGTTAGATATTAGGAGAAATTTTCATTACTGAAAGGGTTGTGCAGCATTGGAATAGGCTGCCCAGGTAAGTGTTTGAGTCACCATCCCTGGAGGTCTTCAAGAAACATGTAGATGTAGGACTTAGTAGCATGGTTTAGTGGTGGACTTGTCAGTACTAGGTTAAAGGTTGGACTAGATGATCTTAGAGATCTTTTCTGATCTGAATGATTCTATGAATCCAACACACAGGTTCATATGAGCAGGCAGGCATTCATGCACACGCATTCTTACATGCATGTGTGACTGTGTCAAGGCTGAGTACGCCAGGAACATGCTCCTCCCTCCCTGGCCAGTGGAGGAAGAAAATCAAACTACAAAGACAGACGCCAGGGAGGGTGGCAGTGCAGTAAGACCCTACTTTGGGCTGGGAGCTGCGCCCAAACTGAACTGAACATGCAGTTCCTGCACAGTGAGGTTTCTATCCAAGCTGATCCTGCTAATAAGTCACCCAAGGGAGGGGGTGGCACTGAGATACTGAAGCACTCGCACAGGTCCTGGACATAACACTGTGTTGTGGTTTAACACAGCCAGCAGCTAAACACCACACAGCTGTTCGCTTACCCTCTCCCCCTCCCTCTCTGGGATGGGGGAGAGAAATGAGAAAACCGAAGCCTGTGGGTTGAGATAGAGACAGTTTATTAAGACAGAAAACAAAATAACAATAACAACAACAACAACAATAATAATATGTACAAAACAAGTGATGCACAATGGAATTGCTCACCACCTTCTGACTGATGCCCAGCCTATCCCTGAGCAGCTGCTCCCCCCCAACCCTGGCTAGCCACCCCTATATATTGTTTAGCATGACACCAGATTGTATGGAATACCCCTTTGGCCAGTTCTGGGTCTGTCCCCTCCCAGCTTTTGCTGCACCCCCAGCCTGCCTGCTGTCAGGACAGAGTGAGAAGCTGAAAAGTCCTTGTCTTAGTGTAAGCACTGCTCTGCAACAGTGTTATCAACATTATTTTCATCCTAAATCCAAAACATAGCACCCTACCAGCTACTAGGAGGAAAATTAACTCTATCCTAGCTAAAACCAGGACACACTGGGAACCCAGGAAAGGCTTTGGATATCTAAAGATAGGCACCCAAACCAGAGATAGGCAAATGCTTCTAGGACTGTCCTCCAGATAGGACTTCCGTAGTACAAAGTAGGTTGCTGTAGACTGCTCAGCAAGGATTTCTACTCAACAGTCTCTTTTATTCCTTTCTCCAAATCCCTTTTGCCAGAAGCCAAAAGACAGGTCAAAACCATGCAAATCTGGCAATATCAACCTGCCAGCTGTGGGACAGGACACTGCCTGGTCTGTGTGTCAGGTGGCCTCAATTAGCTAAGTCTGGACCCATTTTCACAGAAGCAAATGTATGTGTATCAGGAGGGATAGAGCAGGCAAGGGTGTGCCCAGACTGGGAAAGACAGCTGGGGCTGAATGTTCAGGGCCAGGTTTTTGCTGTTAGAAAGGAGATGAGATGGGACACAGAGTTCCTGCCATGTCCCTCTACCACATCACAACCACTGATGTTGTGAATGGTGCCTGGTTTCCTTTCCCAGCACAGTGCAGTGCAGGTGACAGCAGTAGCAGAAATACCAGCACTGGGTGTGCAGGAGGGACCCCTGTCTAGTATGGAATTGGGTCCTTTTGTGACCCCCCAGGGCCAGGTAAAAGTCCCTCCTGACATCCTCCTGTGGAGAATCCATCATGCAAGCTGCTGTGATGGCCGAGCGGTGAAGGCGTTGGACTTGAAATCCAATGGGGTTTCCCCACGCAGGTTCAAATCCTGCTCACAGCGGGAGCTTTTACTGACAGCCCCTGTCCTCTTGTCCACAGGAGGGGACAGATGGATGTGACCCCACCTGCTACTGACACCAGTCTCCTACTGGCCCCCTTCCCTTTAGGATGACGAAGACTATGTTCATTGGAGCAGCCCTGCACACCTACATCTCATTATCACAGGAAGAAACCCACACTGTGTTTGCTACAGCTGCAGCATTCTGCTCTGCATTGCCCTAATCCCTGCAGTCATATCACCCTCCCTGAAGCCACATCGCTCTGCTCCCTGCAGCCACAGGACAGGCTCTGGCTGCCCTCCATGCAGGACAGCTTTCTGCTGGAGGTGATGCCTTGTGGCAGTGAGGGAGAGTCAGTTGCTGCTGACCCCAAAAGTTACCCAAGCACTGACCCCACATCATTCCAAACCCCAAGATCTGCTCCAGGGCACTGCAGGAAAAGGCTGCAACCTGCAGTGGGGGAACCCCTTCCCTGGCTGGGACTCGAACCCAGGCCGTGGCAATGAGAGTGCCAAATCCTGCCCACTAGACTACCAAGGATAAGATGAGGGTAATGGTGACAGATTCCGTGATGGTGACCAACTAAGCTCTGAAGGGATATGGATACATGGACCCCACAGCCAGAGGGGAAGACTGGTTGGTATGGATGCCACAGCCTTTCTGTGGGACTTTGCAGGGACATCTGCTGCTTTCTGAGAGCTGTGGTATTGGGCAGACCCTCTGTGCAAGAGGACGCCATCTCTGCCAGGTATGGGAAGCAGAACTTAGCTATGCTGAGGCTATGATCACCAATTAAGGCAGGTTTGGGAAAGACAATGATGTCCAATTGCTCAAGAAAACAATCAGCAGTACCCAAGGAGGTTCAGCCCTGCTGCTGATGGAGCAGGCACCCCATTTGTGCTGCTGTGCATAGCCAGGCTAAGGTGACATAAATCACAGGTGATCATGGACACAGCAAACCCAGTTCATGGAACTCAGCCAGGGTGCCCCTGAAATTGGGTGAACCAGAACAGCATAGGCACAGGCTGATGATTACTAGCAGAGCTTTCCCCTGCTCAAGGGAAACAGGGTTCTGAGTCCTTGTGCTGGTAGAGGGGCTGTGTCTGGGGTCCTCATTCCTACTTGGTGCACAGTAAAATCTGTATCTTGTTTTCCCTGGTGCCATCTTTTGAGAGTTTGGCTGGAGCTGCAAAGAGAAGGTGACCCTAGTTTACAGAGAGAGTCCTTCTAAAGGAGCAGAGCCTTTTGCCTTCATTTACCCCACAGAAGGAAGATGAGTAAACACTTGCCCACTTGCTCTGGGAACTGTGCTGCAGGAGGGGACAGGTGAGGGACACAGGCAGCACTACATGGGTATCATGCAGCAGTGGCACTTGTCATCCACCAACCCTTGCCCCAAGCACCTCACTTAGCATTTTTTATTTCAGAACAGTATTTTTTCTTAAGTGAAATGTCTTTTTCAGTCTTATTTTGTTAAGTGAAATTTATTGGACAAAATCCCTGGAGCTTAAGTGAGGTTAGGCTGGGACAAAAACAAAACCTTCTCCCCCAGTGCCTGTGCACATCCCCTAAAAAAAAAAAAAAAAAAAAAAATAGACTTTCTGCTGAACAGAACAGAGAATGAACAGAACAGAGAAGAGCAGAGGGGTTCGGAGTGGGCCCCCATTCCTCAGGTGGTTGCTGCCAGAGTGGGCAGCACCGCGTCAGGCTGCAGGGAGACAAGCCCCACGCTTGCACCTGGGGCACTGCAGGGCTTCCCAGCAGACGGGCGAATGGTGACTACGATGCAGAGGAATGAAAAGGCTCCAGGAGCATTTCCCACAAAAGACAGCAGAGGGCTCATGCACCTTGCGCACTCATGCATGGTTCAGAAAAGTAAATGATGTGCAGGACAAGGGAGCTCTCTCTGCTCCTTCTGCTCCTTCACCAGCCTATGCTACACCCGTGTCTTTAGCTGAATACACAAAGGAATGTGCCATCACAGCCTCTTCCTTCCTTCCTTCCTTCCTTCCTTCCTTTCCTTCCTTCCTTCCTTCCTTCCTTCCTTCCTTCCTTCCTTCCTTCCTTCCTTCCTTCCTTCCTTCCTTCCTTCCTTCCTTCCTTCCTTCCTTCCTTCCTTCCTTCCTTCCTTCCTTCCTTCCTTCCTTCCTTCCTTCCTTCCTTCCTTCCTTCTCTCTCACATCCCCCAGCACAGTTCCCATTCCTGGCAGTGTTGGCCAGGGTCCCTTGATGGGGACTTGCTCACACAGAATGCCCTGGGGAGGCTCCTTCAGGGCTCTCCCTGCCCCATGCAGCTCCCTAAAATGGCCACACAGCTCCCCTCTCCATCCAAACTCTGGCACGGTCCGCATGGACCCCCTGCAGTCCTTCCTTGACATGGTCTGGGGTCACAGAGGGACATCCAGGGACAGCTCCCCTGTCCCTATGGTGCCCTGGCCTCTCCCCAGTCATGCTGTGTCCACTGGATGATGGCTGCTGCTTGCTGCCTTTGCCTGAGGAGCTGTGCTGCAGGAAGCAGGAAAGGACAAAGGGAGGCAGTGGATAACACTGGAGGACTGACTAGTGAATTGCAGAGTAGGATGAAGAGAGCAGAGAAGAGTGTCACCTTCCCTCAAGAGCAAGGATGGAGCCAAGACAAAAGAACAGGGGCTCGCTCGCATCTTTGCAATTCTGCAGCATCTCAGCCATGTCCCCACCACAAAGACCTGCATAGGGCCAAAGCCCCAGTGTGAGGGATGAGGCTGGGCTGTGCAGTGGACTCCAGAGACACCTAACATTATTGCACCCCTTGTGCTCGTTAGGGCAGAGGGGAGAGGGGAGTCGTGCTGGGCTGAGGTGCAGATACCCTGCATCATCAGAAAGATATGCAGATTTCATGGTTTTGGTTGCCTCTACAAGCTCCAACAGAGCATGGGCTCTGGCAGTCTTGTGGTTGGGGCAGCGTCAGTATCTCTCTGCGGTTTCTTAGATCTCTATCTGGGACTTTCAGATGTTTTGTCATAGGCAGTAACCACTCTGCTGGCAGCAGCAGCCTCACTTGCATGACACATACTGGGCACAGTATGTGCTGGACACATCTGGCTGTGATGGCAGAGGACTGAGAGGTGGGTGATTGCCACCCCCTGAATGCAACAAGGAAGCAATGCAGTCCAGAAGCTGCACCTTGTCAGCAGTGTGCAGGGCTGTGTGTGATGTGCAGCTGTGGGGGATGAAAATATTCTCTAAAAGCACTACTCCTTTGAAGGACAAGTCCCAGCCCCAGGGGCAGCCTTGGAGCAACAGGCATAGGTCAGGACCCAGTACAAAATGCAGCCACCATTGCAGCAAGGAGATGGGGCTGAGATGCATGGCCTTGCTTTGTACCCCGTTGTGGATCTAGGGTATATAATGCAATAAGTGCATAAATTAGCCAGAATATTTGGCTAAGTGCAATACTAAAATACATTCAGCAGAGGATTAGCAATAAATAATGCCTCTTTCCAACTCAAAGAGTAGGACATCCCTTGGAAAATCCCAGTTGAGGTTTTGTCTCTGACAAAACCCAAGTGCCTGTTAGCATATTGCTGTTCTGCCCCAAATTGCTGCCACCAGGCATTTATGACAACCCCATGGTGCCAGTCACAGCAGTTCCACTATCTCTATCACTGGGTTCAGCTCCAGACCCTTCACATTAATTTGAGGGCAGGAGTTCTTGGGGTCTCCAGGGCACTTCACCTGCCTGGCATCCCCCCTCTAGCCCACCGGGAGAGCTCCTGCCTGCTCATCTGGGAGGGAGGTTTGGGGAAGCCTTAAGTTCTTGCTGTCCTGTAGCACAGAGCCCTCCTGCAGCACCTCTCATTCTCCCAGTTTTTGGGGACATAGTGGTGAAGGGGACACCATGCCATGGGAACAGAACACAGCTCCTATGGCAGTCCACTGCACTGCAGGAGCCACAGGACAGCAAGGAAACCCCAGGGAGAGGGGCTCGTGGTGCCTCGTGAGCAGCACTTGTCTCTGGGAGCCAGGCATGAAATTCACGGAGAAACCACAGGCTGTGAGCTGGCAAATGTGGTGCCAGCTGAAGAGAAGAGGGAGGTGGAGAAAGGGGAAATGCTCCCTGCGGCAACCTGGGGAGCCCATCACGAGGCCCATGACTGTGAGTGTGCACATGGTGATGGGGCTCTGCCTTGGCATGAGATCAGGTCCCAAGCAGGGGAGCCTCCTGCTCTGCCTTCTTCATCCCACCTTTCCCCAAGCCCAGGTTGGTGCTTGTGTTTGCCCCACATGTCTGGGAGAAGTCAGTGTTTGTAGAGGAAACCTTCAAGGTGGACTTACCAGGCAAGCATCCCCTTTCTTGGCTGATGCTGGTGTGTACTGGGAGGTCCTGAGCTCCATTCTGGGAGCACAGCTTTGAGGGTTTTGTGTCTCTCAAAGATTTCCCAGGGCTACAGCCTCCCCAGGGTGCCAGCTATCCTTGCTACCTGCACAGGCAGTGGTGCTCGGAGCATGCACACTGCCCACGCTGCCCCTCACATGTGTCCCAGCCCACCACAGGACCCCCAACTGGACCTGGTCCCAAGCCATTCAAGGGGCTGAGCACCTTTGTGCTCAGGACTTGGGTTCTTGAAAAGGACATTGGGCTGACATCTTCCTGGCCCTGTGGGAGGCTGTTGAGATGAGCTTGTTGGGGTTTGCTGTCATCTTGGTGAACCTAAGTGCAAACCTGCTTCTCAAGAGCTATTTCATATCCTGTCTTGGTCAGTATAGCCCTCGTGAGGGTGCTGGTTTGTTCAGACTTACCCCACCTTACACAAAGGCTATTTTAGTATTTCCTAAACCTGCTGCTTCCTCTTTATTTCAGTATTTCTGAGGCAAAGGTGCCATGACATCAGCTCTGTTACGCTTTGGAAATTCCGAATACTTGCCTTAAAATCTGCTGCTACCCCTATAAAAAGCAAGGAGCATCCAAACCATCTTGCACCAGACGAAGGAGAAACCTGATCTGATCCTGCTTCTGCCTTGCAGCTTGCCTCCGTCTATAATGAACATCTTTAGTGCAGCCCTCTCCATCCTCCTGCTTGCTGGCCTCTTTTCTCAGGCCTTTTCTGGTCCAAGTGAGTACAACTCTTTGCTCTCCTGGGGTGGGATGTTGGCATTCAGGATTTTTGCTCTGAAGGCAATAATTTTGAAGAAGAGATGGAAAAAGTTTCAAAGATTAAAAACCTGTGTGAATAGCTTTTCATGCTTTCTTTGAATTGGTTCTCCTTTCCAGCATCCTTTTAACTTAGGGAGGTAATTATGAATTTTACTTCACAAGTATTAAAGGTTTCAGGTTTCACAACTCTGCTTCTGTTACCAGGCTTTAGGAGTGATACTAGAGTGACCAAGGGGATGTTTATCATTGGTAGTGAGGGAGAAAGCCTTTAGCAAGACACTCTAGCAGTGACTTTCATTAAGCACTGTCATTTTTTGCTGACTTTATGGTTAATTTGGATAAGAAGAGGGCTCCACAGCTGAGTAAGGGAATGGTTACTCATGGTAGACTCATGCTGTCCTTCCTGATCTCTTCCAGTTGGAGCTGACACAACCATCTGCTGCTTCAGCTATACCTCACAGAAGCTGCCCCAGAGTCATGTGAAGGATTATTTCTACACCAGCAGCAAATGCCCACAGCCAGCAGTTGTGTAAGTACTGGCTCCTGCTCTGAGCTCTTTGGGAAAGGCTCCACCAGCCTTTGGGCTCTGCTCCAAAATTTCCTGCCATCCACTGGGACTAAGAGCATGGTGGTGTTAGGAATCATGCATGGAGTCAGGGGGCAGCCACCACAGGCCCCACATGCTGTATGTGAGCACTCATCCTCCTCAGATGACAAATAGGGCCATCCTGGTGCTGGGAACAAGGTGTGGGAAGGATATTCCTGCGTAGCCTCCCTGTGGCCATGAGCCCAAGGCACATAACGTGCCACTCGTGAGACTTGTACCTGATGTAGACTAGGGGTCTGAGGCCAGCAGATGCTTGCCCCAGAAATGCCAGATGCCCATACACTGCATCCAGGCTCACCTCCAGACTGGACAGGGACAGGAATGTCTGAGCATGGGGGCTTCTCCCAGGGCACCTAGAGCTCTCCTTGATGCCTGCGTTTAGCAGGCTCCCCTGGAGCTTGTGGTTTATGGGAGGGTAAATGATCCCCTTGGGAGCCAGCACTGATCACAGGACAGGTCAGCAGGTGTCCAGAAAGCAACCCAAGGCCCTGGCTGCCACTTTGGCATGTCCCTTCTACCTCCAGGACTATAACACCTCTCTGCCTGGCTTGACAGGTTCATCACCAGGAGGACTCGGCAGGTCTGTGCTAAACCTGATGCCAGGTGGGTGAAGGAATATGTGAACTTCCTGGAGATGCACTGAGCACTGGGAGCTGAGAGGAACCTGCCAGGAGAGTCCTGCAAGACCATCCAGCAAAGTCATGGCATGGACCAGAAATCCTGCTTGTTCTGAGCACCGAGGCCAACAGACGCCTCAGGGGCCCTGAATTTCCTTTCGTCTTGCAAGGGCATTGTTTATCTTTTACAATTTAGCCACCCCTACTGGGCAGCTATGATGCTGGGGACCTACCTCCTGGCCTTGCAGACATGGCCTGGCATAGCCTGCTGTGTGAGCTGTGACTAAACTCCATCCACTCCTTGCGCCTCTGCTGCTAGAATGGGAGGGGAATCTTATCTTAGGAGCTATTTGTGGGAAGTGGTCTGTCAAAACTAGGTATGAGTGCTGTCATGTAAATGCAGTCTGACTACTAAGCCAGCTGGCTGAACCCTGCAGTACAGCAGATGCTGTGAATGAGATTCAATGAATGAAATCCTTCCTTAATGGAAGAAATGGTACACTGGATATTTATGGGATGCTGGTTGTGGAATCATGTTGTTCAGCCTTATTCTCAAAATGCTGTGTCTTGCTGGTACTAAAGAATAAAGATTTTTCTCTTGCTCTCTTCACTCTGTGTCATCTCTTGCCCAGCCCCAGAGGAAGGCAGAAAGCACTTGGTCCTGGGAGTGCTGGAGTGTGGAGGGACCTTTCTGCTACACATCCCAGCACCTGCCTACCCCAGAGCTGGTGCTTGGAAGGTACTTGTCTAGAAGGACTCCACCACAACCACCTTGGGAGAGGCAGGAGACAGGCCATGACTTCCCACCTGGAAATGCCTCATCCTTCTTTTTCCTAAATCTTCCCTCCTGCATTGCCTCCCTAGTCTCCAGCACCCAGCATTGCCCAGGGCTGCATCCTCCCAGCCCCTGCTCTGCTGTGAGCCAGCCCTTGCCCCCATCACGAGTGACCAAGGCCAGGAGCTGGTGGAGCTGGTCCTGCAGGATCTGATGCTCTGCTCTGGCCCTATCTTCTTAGTGTTTTACCACAGGCACCCATTATCTGCTGCAGATCTGTCTGCAGCTGGTTTGCAAAGAAAACCTGAATTTGGTTTTAAAAAGCACACTGAGTAAAAACAAGAAAAACACTTTGTCAAGCTATGGTTTGCATTTAAAGCTCGCTGATGTCTTTGTGGGTGGAAAACGAAACTGCTGGGTCTGACCTCCTGCCACTGAAGCTCTGTGCAGGGGGGAGAGGACCTTCGCTATGTGCCCTGGGCTGCTTCCATCAAAGCTGCCCGAAGCAAAAAAAAAAAAGCTTTTGTAAGCTGACCTGACCTTGTGCAGGCAGTTTGTGCATGTCCATGTTCACCTCCCAGGCCACTGTTTACAAGGAAATGAGCTCTTCTTCACTCACTGGGACTTATTTCTCAGCCCTCCCCTCATTGCCATAATTTTCCTCCATAGTTTGGAGCAAGCAAACCAGTGTGAGATGACACAGTTTCTGTTAAATACCCCAAGCCCACTGGTGCTACAGTGGTCTGCAGGTGTTTGTGTTGTCTCCTGTCCTCCCCTTGCTCATCACCACCTTTCCACAGGTCTCCCTGATTAATGACCACCCTTTCCTATGAAGTTCTTTATTAGCTGCCTCAAAGTCTCAATTTCTGGCAGAATCTGAGCACAGAGCTCTAACCCACTGCTCCCAGGGCTCTCTACAGACTGAAGCTGTGTTCCCTGCAGCCTGGGGCAGGAAACAGATGCAGAAGCTTCGCCAAGCTAAAGTGCACAGTGGACGCTGTCATTGTGGCCTTGCAGCCCTGCTGTGCTTTCATCTGACTGGCTGAGCTGGCAGCATGTTCTTACAGTGAGAGCAGGCAACAGGGAGCCCGGAGACATCTGTGTATGTGTCCATGTCAAAATATCACAACCCAAAATGATCCCATCCTTGAATCCTGGCAGGTTTCCTGCCTGTGTAGTGTCCGCATGCTGAGAGGGTCCTGTCCCCGGGGGACCCAGCTGTGGAGGGATTCCAGATCCTTGGTGATGGGATACAAGGAAACAGCTTCAGGCAGAACAGAGTGGCTCTCCCTAGGGATGCGGAAGAAAAGTGTAGGGGGTGGAGTTGGGTGCAGGGCACCCCGTGGGACAGGAACCATCAAGGAGGCACAGATGAAAGAGGCAGAGAGCTGGGAGGTTGAGGACAGAAGCAGAGGAGGGAGAGAGAGGTTGCAGTAGAGGAAGGGATGCGAGCGCCCAGGTCTGGGATGGGAAGAGCCCTGTCTGGTCAGTCGGGTTCCCAGGCATAGGGGCAGGATCCCCAGGGGTGGTGCCTCCAACCCACCTTGTCAGAAGCCTGTGGAATGTACAGAGACCTGTCAGCAGGAGATGGGGGACAATGAAATCCACATGGGTGTCAGGTCTGGTGCTCACAGCAGCCTTGGTTCTGCAGGGCTTCGGGGTCCTAAAGGATGTGAGGTTGTGCTCCCTTTGCCCTGTCTGGCAAACACCATGAGTGAGAAGAGGGGGCCATGGTGTTCATGACACTGAAACTACTTTGCAAGAGGAGGAAAAGAAGCTGGGGCTGAGATGCCATGCTGACTCATGTGTCCCCAAAAACTTCACAAATGCCCTCACCCAGCAGTGGTGGGGCAGCTCAGACCATTTTTTTCCTGGTGGTGAAGATGTGGAGAGGACTGGGAAGCCTTTGTGGTGAGGAAGGGATGCACCACTGCAGAGCTGCACTGTGGTGCCACATCAAGTCTGGGAACTGTCTTTTGTGTGACCACTGTGCAGGCAGCCAGCCAAGGGGAGGTGCTGAGAAAACAGAGAAGGTCCCATGAAAGACTCCTGGCTCTGCCTCCTCTTGCCGCAGGCTTTGGAAGGCAGGGAGGAGGACCACAGACTGCAGGCCTGAGTGGCTGCTGCAGACAGAGTAGTTGGTATCTGCTGAGGCAGGCATCATGTGGGCATAGATCTCTGCACACCACACATGTCACCCGGGGGCTCCTCCTCAGTCAGGCTGGGATGGTTTTGTGGTGGTTTACATAGCTGAATTCCACCACAACCTCTCTATTTCTCTTCCCCTCCTTAAAAGAAAAAGGGGAGAAAATATGATTGAAAGGGTGCCACGGTTGAGATAAGGACATGGAGATTTATTGACAAACAGTTATTGTCATGGGCAAAACAAACTCAGCATAGGAAGATTTATGTAATTTATGGCCTATCACTACTGGATTACAACAGTGAGAAACTAAAAACAAATTAAAAAAAAACTTCCTCCCCACCCACCCTCTTCTCTGACCTCTCCTGAGTGGCACAGGGAAATGGCGAATGGGATCTGCAGTCAGTCCCTGACGCTTCATCTCTGCCACTCCTTCATGGTCACTCTCTACCCCTGCTACATGCAGGGTCCCTCCCACAGGACGCCATCCTTCCTGAACTAAGCCTGTGGGGGCTGCCCACAGGCAGCAGTTCCTCAGTAACTGCTCCCACACGGCTCTGTACCACGGGGTCCATCCCCCAGGAGCAAACTGCTCGCACGGGTCTCCCACGGGCAGCAGCTCCCCCCAGGCCCCTGCTCATGCGTGGGCCCCTCTCCACGGGCTTCAGCTCCAGCCCGGGGCTTCCTCCTGCAGGGGCTCTCCACAGGCCGCAGCCTCCTCTAGGCCACATCCATCTGCTCCACCGGAGCTCCTCCACAGGCTGCAGCGTGGAGATCTGCTCCATGTGGGACCATGGGCTGCAGGGGGACAGCCTGTTCCACCAGGGGCCTCTCCACAAGCCACAGGGGAACTTGTGCTGCGTGCCTGGAGCACCTCCTGCCTCCTGCTGCACTTACCTTGGGGGTTGCAGGGCTGGTTCTCACTCATCTCTCTCCCAGTTGTTGTTGCACAGCAATTTTCTGTTTTGTTTTGTTTTCCCCCCTTTCTTAAATCTGCTCTCACAGAGGTGCAAACATCACTTATTGGCTCAACTCTGGCTATCAGTGGGTCCTTTTTGGAGCCAGCAGGAGCTGGCTCTGTTCTGACATGAGGTAGCTTCTGGACTCTTCTCACAGAGGCCAACCCTGCAGACCCCTGTACCAAAACCTTGCCACATAAAACCAAGACAGATTTCCCAGAATAACATCCCATCCTTCTGCAGGGCTTGTCCCTTCACCAGTACAGGCAGGTCTTTCTCAGCCACCTCCCTGCAGCTGGAAAATCTCTCTCCTTGCCAGTACAGAGTGATGGCCAGTCCCAGATAACACCCAACAAACCCAACTCTTGGTCCCAAGATAGAGAAAGACTTGTGGGGTCAAGTCAAAAGCTTCCTGAATGGGCCCAGGGCTGGTGTGTTACCCACACAAGAGCTGGCTGCTGGCACCAGCTGGCAGTGTAGGAAGGCTCCTTCTCACATTTCCTGGAAAGCTTCTGCCAAGCAAGCATGAAGCAGTGCACAGCTGTGACAGGGCTGGCTGAAAGAGATTTGGAGTGTAGGACTGAATCCCTACAACCAGAAGGAGACACATCAGGGATGCTGACCCTGCCATCCCACACACATGGAGAGTGAGAGCACCTAACCCTAACCATTCCCACCCCAGAGACCTTGGGACTTTCTCCCCACTGGGCAAGGATGGGCAAACAGGACACAGGCTTCCTGCACCACCAGTGAAGATATGCTGAAGTCTGTAGTGGGAAGGGGCAGTAGTTCCACCAGCTTCAGCCCCCCTTGCCCTATCTGGCTCTGTGGGCAGTCCCCAGTCAAGCAAAGCTCCAGCTGGACTTCCTGAAAGGCCTTGCCATTGCTTGCCTGTGACTGGACTCCTCAGGAACTTCTTGTGTTCTCCCAGAGTCCTCAGGCATAATAAGGAAAATCAACCGTGTACTACCAGCAGAGAACAAGCGCTCCTGCTGGGCCATGTTCCAGGCCAAAGAGTCAGAGCATCCCATGCCTGTTTGTCAGGCCTTACAGGTCACAATGATGAGACCTTCTTCCTCCAGGAGAACAAAAACAACCCAAAGACAGAAGTGGGTTCACCTTGGGAGTAGAGGGCAGCAATAAGGAGAGCAACCAGAGAGACCATCACTTTCCCAACCAGAGCTAAGCAGACATACAGATCATTTCTGTGCTCATCACTGATCCAAGCAGTCCTTGCTTTCCATAGAGAAGCACCAGTGATGGGTGCTATAAAAATGGATTTAGGAGAAAGGTTTCCTGAGTGATGTGGAGCTGCCACTCAGGATCTGCCACACAGACAGCATCACATAGCTTAGAAAGACAAAATTCAAAGACACTGAGTTGTGAGGTCAGATCCAAAACAACAGCTAACACAGAAGAGCTGCAGGGGGAGGCTGTGACAGGATATGCCTCCCTTAATACTTCAGCAAAGTTGTCCAGAAGTAACCACAACTCCACTCCTCATGGTGAGGACAGCTAAGAGAGGGAGGAGGCAAGAAGTGCTTCCTTACACTCTTTACCCCCTGAGGGCTGATGAAGGGGATAGCTGCAGAATCAGGTTAGGAAGAATGGCCATAGGGAGAGAATGCTGCCTGTGGGGTTGCTCACCACCTATCCCAGGGCTTTTCCCAGATTCACAGGCAGTAATGGGAGAGCTAAATAGGGTTCAAGCTCCCCAAATGACCAG